TGGGAGTGGCTTGCCAGCTATGTGACCGAGGGGAAATGGCTTGGCCAACAAGTGACTGGGGGGGATGGCCAACTTTTAAAATGTGGTGAAACTCACACAACAACGCTCTTGCTTAGCAACCAAAATGTTGGCTCAGAAACTTTGGCAAGTCTTGAAGCTGTCAAATTACAAGACCTTTGCACCCCTAACCCTTTGCACCCCCCAGGGGTGTTCAAACTTGGCAGCTTTAAGACTTGTGGACTTCAACTCCCAGAATTCCTCCTCCAATTATGTTGGCTCAGGAACTCTGGCATTGAAGTGTGCAAGTCTTAAAGCTGTCAAATTACAAGACCTTTGCACCCCTAACCCTTTGCACCCCCCAGGGGTGTTCAAACTTGGCAGCTTTAAGACTTGTGGACTTCAACTCCCAGAATTCCTCCTCCAATTATGTTGGCTCAGGAACTCTGGCATTGAAGTGTGCAAGTCTTAAAGCTGTCAAGTTACAAGACCCTTGCACCCTAACCCTTTAGAAAAAAAACCCCATAGATGTTCAAACTTGACAGCTTTAAGACTTTAAGGTTTAGATAGGACTCTTAGAGGCAGGCAAGGTGATTTATGAGACAGCCAATCATTGAGTGGTGGGTGGGGCAAGCGTGGTGCAGACGGGCGGGGGAGGGAGCTGTAACCGGTTCTAAACGGCACGGTAGATTTGTGGAACCTCTTCTATAGAAGAGGTTAGAACTGGCAGGAACCAACCCCTGCTATTAATATATGATACCCGTATAAGCACAATATATTTATTGCTATTTGCTATTTATTTTTGGTGTTTTATATAAATTCACTATGTGCGATTAAGGGATTTGGAATAGAAACATTATTTTCATTCAACTGAAGATTCTTTATTTTTTCTCCCAAGGCATCTACCATCTTTTAACTTATCACAGAAAGCCTATTAAGGAGCAGAAGATGGAATAGCTTTACGATACCTTTTTATTTGTAGTACTAGGAACAATCCATCTAAAAGCAGGTTTTGCCCCAATTCATTATTTGAACAGAATAAGTAAGGATGCCATTTAAAATAGAATACTTTTCAGCTAGGGTGAAATTATTATATCATTTTTACTGCTAATCTAAATGTGTTTAAACTAGCATCTAAATATACAATAGCAGAAAAATTTCATATTTGATTCAAAATAGAAGTTATACAGAGAAAATAAATGTAGGTTTTCAGTATTCAGTTCTATATCTATATAACCATGCTACTGCTATTGGTTATATGATATACTGTTCAGCAGAAAGGGACCTACCGGTAATAATTTCTATTGGGAAATCTGCAAAAGCTATTTCTAGACAGTAAGAACTTTCCACCTACCCATCCACCCTTTTCTTGACTTCAATTCTACTGGCCTGCTAGCCAATAATAAATCCATTCAAAGATAATGAATACATCAGGCAAGAAATTTTAATTCTAGTGTTAATATCTATCATTTTCATATTTTATATTGCAATTTTATCTTGTTGTAAGCCATCTAGAGACACTTTATAGTTACATGGGTGCTATATAAATTTAATAAATAAAATAAACTATTCTATAATTCTAACTTTTCCACACTTACTATTTTCTACACTTCCTCACATGACCTGACTGTAATTTTTTCATTGTGCAATGCTTCATACCATAAAGAAATGAGAAGTACATCTCTTCCATAATCTTGCATTATTCCATGTCCCAACATGATTATTTATGGAAGAATAAAGGCACTATTAAATATGTATCCAAAATTTAGGGTGTTATATTAATTAAGTTACTAGGCAAGGAATGGATGAGGAAACCTAGGTTTCAGCTGTGTGAATTTGCCCCAGACCAGGGGTGGGTTTCTCGCCCCGTTCCAACCGGTTCGGTTGGAACGGGGCCNTCACTAAGTGTTCTATCTTTTTATTCTTGATGAATGTATTTTATTCTCCTTATGTACACTGAGAGCAATATGCACCAAAGACAAATTCCTTGTGTCCAATCACACTTGGCTAATAAAGAATTCTATTCTATTTTATTCTATTCTATTATTCTGTTCTGTCCTGTCCTGTCCTATATCCTATCCTATATTTCTATTCTATTCCATTCCATTCCATTCCATTCAAACTTAACCAAGAATCATGAGGGCTGAAAATCATTAACAAGAGACATGATTTTTTGCAGTTTGCAGTAGATTCACAAAGGAAACCGTGGTCTGCTCTAAACCTTTGAATGCTCACTAATTAATATTACCCATTTTACACATGTGACTCACTTGACTTTCTTCAGCAAGAGTTTTTCAGATCAAGGATTGCAATCCTGATTAAAACTGCACCAAGAGCTATTCTTTGTTAAGTGACTGGAACCAAACAAAAAAAGGACAAAATAAGAAATGGATAATTATTTCCAATAAGCAACACTAAAAGGATCACTCCTCTTTTGTCATGGTCCTTACTACAAGGTTATAGGCACACTTCCACTTGATCTCTAACAGGGTTTTTCAAATTTGGTAATTTAAGATGTGCTGGGGAATTCTGGGAGTTGACGTCCACATACCTTAAATTTACAAAAGTTTTTAAAATACTGATCCATTCGTATGTCATATTTATCATTTTATATGTTAAAACGATTGGCACTTTATCTCTCTGCCTGAAACTGTATGTGTTTTAAGAGTAATTCTAAACCACACTGAGATTTAAAGGAGAAAAAAGAAAGAAATATGCCAATAATGTCTTCGGCTGCACAATGTAGACATTGATGTAAAATGAGAGAAATAACACGCGTTAAGGGTGTCCATCTCATTTGTTTAACATAATGCTATTCACACAATGTATTCCAGCAAGTTTAATAAAAGAGAAATGCTACTTTGCGTTATAAATAACTGGATTTAATTTATGCCCAAACGGATGATATTTTAAAAATAAGATATCTGTTCCTGAGTCAAAATCCAATTTGTCCCTGAAAATGCTGGTCTGGGTGTGGGGGAAGGGCAGGGAAGGGAGAGGGGAAAAACCTTGGAGTTTTAAAACAATCTTTAACAGATTTTCAACTGAACGTAGAACTCAGAGGTCCACATCCATTCTTCTCCATCTGAAATGCCAGCGGGTTACCTCAAGCAGGATTTGAAGGGCCAGCCCTTTCCCTGCTCAGCTCTTAACAGTTTCTACTTGGTGGTAGATCACATTTGAACATGGAGGCTCCACACTTATTTTGTTTAAAAATTAATAACACCCCAATATTCTGAACTTTGGAGGTAGCGTCAACAGTAAAGCTGTGTGAAAGCATAATCCTCTTAAACTACTCCCTTATGCTAATTACAAAAATATTACGTGGCCGCAAGACAGAGCTGGGTTTCACATAATTTTACCACCGGTTCATTGCGCACCAAAACTGTGCGTATGCGCCCTCAGCGCATGCGCTTTGCTCACGCGCATGGCTTGCACACATGCGTGCGGCTTAGAAAACTTGGCTAAATAGGATGGCATAGAGCCGGGCCTGCCCACCTTCAGATTGTCACTACCAGTTCACCCAAACCAATCCGAATCGGCTGAAGACCACCGCTGGTGCAAGAAGACACCTTTAAAAAAAAGAGNAATTCTCCAGCCGGCAGAGCAACTTTAAGACTTGTGGACTTCAACTCCCAGAATTCTCCAGCCAGCAGAGCAACTTTAAGACTTGTGGACTTCAAATCCCAGAATTCTCCAGCCAGCAGAGCTGGCTGGAGAATTCTGGGAATTAAAGTCCACAAGTCTTAAAGTTGCCAAGTTTGGGAACCATTGCCATATACCATTCCGGACAAATGGCTGTCCAACCTCTTCTGAAAAACCTCCAATACTGCACATGAAAACAAGGAAATCCGCCTTCAATTTTCCCGGGCCTCTTTTTGATCACAACCTTCCTTATTCTTTCTTTTTTTTCCCAGTCGTCAACCGCAATCGTTCTGCTGAGGAGCTGAAGGGAAAACCAGGGTACGTACCCCACCTTTCTCTCCACACCCCGGTCTTCACAGCAAAGGACTACCGCACCTGGAGGATGTTCGGCCACCAGCCTTCGACCAACAACCAGTAAAGCACCTTCAGCTGCTTGACGCGATGTGATAATCCTCCTTCGTGGTGCCAGGTGGGGATAGCATCTCCCCTTTGTGCTCAGGGCCCATATGTCCTAGGCCCAGAGCCTTGGAGTGATGTGGCATGGCGGCGTACCCCACCCCCCCCGCAGCCTGGTACACATGGACACGTGGGCAATTTGTTGTGAACGGTGCTGTAAAAGGAGGGAGCAGAGAACACTTCGCCCTTTTACCTGTGTGTTTGTTTTCTAATGAAATTGTTGGGCAGACAATTCTTCATGTACTTCTTCATACAATGCAGAAATAATCGGCGGGACTCCCTGCCATGGAATAGCAATAGCGGTAGCACTTAGATTTAATATACAGCTTCACGGTGCTTTACAGCAGCCTCTAAGCGTCTTACAGAGTCGACACATTGCCCCCCCACAACAACCTGGGTCCTCATTTTACCGACCTCGGAAGGATGGAAGGCCGAGTCAACCTTGAGCCTGGTGAGAATCAAACTCCTGGCAGTCAGCAGAATTAACTTGCAATACTGCATTCTAACCACTGTGCCACCATGGCCCTTTAGGATGACCCCCTACTTCAATGATGTTGGTTTTTTTTTAAAAAAAAACAGAGACAAACTAAGGAAAGATAGAAGAGACGAAGGCAAATGACATCTGAGGTAATATATATTTTTCGGAGTATAAGACGCACCTTCCCCGCCCCAAATCTGGGTGTGTCTTATACACTGAATACAGCATTTTTGGCCTTCTAGAACTCTGCTCCCTTTGCAAAAATGAACGTACAGAGTTTGAGAGGCCTGCAAAGTGCTTCTGGGGGCTGGGGAGGGCAAAAATGAGTGAAAAGGGGCCCTTTTTAGCTTGTTTTTGCCCCCCATAGCCCCTGGGAGCCCTTTGCAGGCCTCTCAAACTCTTTGCATGCCCCATTTTTGACAAATAAGAAGGCATGCAGAGGGTTTGGGAGGCCTGCAGAGTGCAAAAACTTTTTTTTTTAGTTTAGCTCTTCAAAATCTTGGTGCCTTTTATACTCCGGTGCGCCTCATACACCAAAAAAAAAAGTAACTGGTTGGAAAATGCCAAATGGAATGCCTTTACAACTCCTCTTTGAGTAAATCATGGGAAGTAGGCCTGTGCATAAAATGAATGCAGGTTGGGATAATTAAGACACTTTCAATAACTCACCTTAACTGGTAGTGTTCTAATGACAGCCTGGGAGCCATCTGTTGGGGAAGCGTTAATTAAGATTCTTGTGCTGAGCGTGGGTTGGCAGTTGGACTTTCTAGGACGTCAATTCTATGATTCAGTGACTCTTGGCTACATTCCCTTACTTTTTAGGTCAGAGCTCAACATACTCTCCATACAATGCCAAGAGAGATAATTATGTATCTTCTCCCACACTAATATACATGTAAAATAGCTGAAATCTCGGTCAACACTCATAACATTTCTATTGAGATCCCCAGAGAATACTGAACTCTGTGTCTGGTGACAGCTTAAAATCTAGTAATAGTTTGGTATTAGTAATTGGTATGAAAATAATGCACTCTTGAGATAATTGCAGGAAAGTTGGTGACCCATTTTAAGGCTAGTTTGGTGTTTTGAATGGATTGAGATAGGTTTTACCAACATTTCAGTCTACTGTGGTTCTTTTAAGCATTTTAATCTACCCATTTATCAATCCTAACCTTCCCAATGGGACTGATTTTTTCCACTTTTGGCAGTTTTTAGGAGGAAAATAATTTAAGACATCATTTAGATTTTTGTGGTTGTTAGGGTTCAACTTCTATCCTTAAAACGACGCTATAGGGCACTGCACACCAGAACAACTAGACACAAGGACAGTTTTTCCTGGAATGCCATCACTCTGCTTAACAACTAATTCCCACAACACTGTCAAACTATTTATTAAGACTGCATTACTATTCTTCTCATCCTTCCTAGTCTCTCTCCACTTATGACTATAACTATGTTGCTTGTATCTTTCAATTTATATAGTTTTTATTTGTCTCCTAGTATGATTTGATAGCTTATTAGTAACTTTGACTATCACTAAGTGTTCTATC